GTTTTGAGACTCCAGTTATGCAGATGTTAGACCTTCTGAGCAAGTGTCATAGACCTCTTATGCTCTAATCTTTCTTTATGAAAAAAATGTATGAGAGGAACCGTATAAATTGCTTCATCAGGAAGTGAAACATAAAACTAGGCTAAAAGGTGCTTAAAGGAAAACATAGGTAGTAGTTGAGGTAAACAGATTAACTGAAATATAATAAGGCATCTTTTTTTGTTTTTATATTGATAAGCTTTTTAATAGAATAGTTCTAGATTTACAGAAAAATTGCGGATATGGTGCTGAGAGTTCCCATACAGCTCACAGCCAGTTTTCCCTATCATGGTGTTGTGGTTTCCAATGAGAAACATACAGGGTGGGGCAAAAGTAGGTTTACAGTGTGAGTACATGAAACAGTTTATGCCTGGGTTATTGATTATTGTATTTTTTTCCACACAAACAACTGTATATTTTGCCTTTGTTCTCTTTTATGACACAGAGCTCTTAACGCCCTTGAAATTTTCTAGTTGAAGAAAACAAGCAAGGAGTCTTTTGTTATGTTAATGAGGCGGCTTTGGGACTTCACCTAAGGGCGGAGACTGGTTGTTAGGACTAACCCTGTGATGAGAGGGCTGGAACTCTAACTTCCAGTCCCACCCCCCCTGAGCTCCAGGGAGGGTCGAGGGGCTGGAGGTCCCGTGCAATCAGCAATGGCCAGTGATTGAATTAGTCTTTGCCCGTGTAATGTAGCCTCTACAGAAATCCTTAAAAGGAGGGGGTTTGGAGAATTTCTGGGTGGATGACAACATGGAGATTTGGGATGAGTAGCAGGCCTGGCGAGCGCATGGGAGCTCTGTGCCCTGTCCCCATACCTTGCCCTGTGCATCCCTTCCATCTGACTGACCCTGAGTTACCTGTACTTTGCCAGGTATAATGCATACTTTTTTGCCCCAATGTTTGAGGGAAAAATAAGGATGCACATTATACATGGGTATAATGATTACATGCCACGGACATAATAACCTCATGTATAATGTGCACAAAAACGTGGGTGTGCATTATAAATGGCATTAAGGGATTTAGTCCTTAATGGCATTAAGGGATTTATGACCTTTTAAGTACTCTGGGAAGAAAAACAAACAGGAAAGCAAACTTCCATCCTAGTCTTGCTTGGCAAGAATAAATTATACCAGAGGGAGTAATTGGTACAATGCAAATGCTAATGCTCTTAGATAATGCTGTTAGGAGTTCTAGCTCCGCCATAGCTCTCTCCCTGCTTATCAAGGTAAGCAGGTCTAGCCAGTGCTTGGTGCCAGTCTCTTTCCTCCAAGATTATATATGAAATAGGAAAGACTTACCAATGTTTGTATCTTAACTCCTTTTTTTCTATGTCTTAATACCATCACTTAAAATTTTTTTTCCACACTGAAGGACATGCTTATTGACCTTAGAGAAAGGGGAAGGGAGGGAGAGAGAGAGGGAGAGAAACATCAATTGGTTACTTCTCTCATGTGCCCACTGGGGCAGAACTTGAAACCTAGGCATGTGCCCTGACTGGGAATCGAACCCTCAGACTCTTGGTTTATGGGATGATGCTCCAAACGACTGAGCCACACTGGCCAGGGCACCATCACTTTATTTTTTGATTGATCCACTTTTCTTTATGTGTATTGCTACCATCAGGGAATAGGGTTATAACCATGCTCATTTATGCATTACCTACTTATATCCTTATAGTTTCTATTTCTGGAGTTTATGTTTTATATCTCTATGCTCTGGCCCGCAGAGCAGTCAACTGGAGCTCGACCACCTTCCTGGAACAAATGGGTTGGGGGGACAAGAGGCGCAAAGAATGGCAGCAAGACAATAAATTCTGATCAAGCTGCAAATTTTATTTTTCCGTACTGGGTGTATATATATATATATATATATATATATATATATATATATATATATATATATATGGAAGAAGGGAGAGGAAGAAGATTAGGCTGCTTGCTATTGGCTAGCTTAAGACAAAGGAGAGCCCGCTTATTGGTTACTTGGGTGTAACTTGTACTCATGGACACCTCATGTACCTGTAGCCGATTGGCTTGTGAAGCGCGTGCACATGGGGGCTAGCCGGAGGTTATTTGGAAAGTCCTTGTTGATTAGAGGTTCAGATAGTCAACGGACTGTGCCTTGTGGCTAACCGCAATGTTCTTAGCTTAAGGCCAGGTGCTCATTTCGGGGAAGTACGAGACCTAGGACAAGGTTCCCAACATCTCTATATCTATGTCTATTTGTAGATATCTATAGATAGCTAGATATTTCTTATTTTCAGTGATTTGTAGGGAAACTTTAGTATTGCTTCTGGATATGCTCAGCAGTAAGCACCAAATAATGCATTTTTGGACACTATTGAACTTAGAACTTTGAGTTCAAAGTTTCTAACCCTCCACTTTGTCATTTTCAGTTGAGAGTTTTTCTGTTTCTTTCAAAAATGTTTGCATGAATTATCCCTTAGTGAGTAGGTATTTATTTGATGTTTTAGGAAACATCAATGAAAATTGTGCCGGTGGACTTGACCTTGTAGGAATGAAAAGAATCAGACCATTTTCAGGCAATGTACAGAGACATGGTAAGAACTGCCAGAGATTTTCCTCATTGCACAAGTACAGCTTTATAATTAGTACAAAATGCCAGATTGCAGTGACTTTTTCCTCAAATGCTACAGTGTGTGGGGTTATGGGATTTACAGTTGCTTATCTGAGACTGAGCTTTGAGTTTAGGGACCAGAGATTTTAAATCTTGTTTGTGCACAGATTCCTTTCCTTCCCCTCCCCTCTCCTCCCTTTCCTTTCATTCTTTCACTAAACAGGCAATAGCTCTTTTCTTTATAACATTGTAAGTAGATAATTGTGTAACCTTAACAGTATCAACATTTCTATGTGTCAGACTGGCTAGAGATGACTTACGTACGACACAATTCTGTAATCTATTATAAACACTCAAGTCCATATCCTGCACCAAGATTAGGATGTCAGCTTTTAAATCAGATGTTATCTTACAAGTAGGAAGAACCATATTAATAAGTCACAGAAACTTGGGGTGACAACACAATACAGCCTACAGATGATGTGTTTTAGAATTGTGTACCTGAAACCTGTATAATTTTATTAACCAGAGTTACCCCAATAAATTCAATAAAGAGGGGAGAGTAATAAATGAGTACTATTAAAAAATAGTACTCATTTTAAATTTACTCCTGTACTAAATTCTTACTAGTTATTTCCCAACCCGGGCCCTTATAATTTATGTTATACTTTCTTGCTGAATTTGATAATCTTATTCTTGCATTATCCACTTTAGATTAAATTAACAAACATCTTCACCTAACACATCGTATATTTATGTTATTACTATAGCAGAAAACTTCAATTTTTAAAAATTTTCCGCTGTACAGCATTGAATGGCTGTTTAGTTGTCAGAGTGTTTTATTGTTCAATTCCATTTCTTTTTTCCCTTTTTATTTTTTTCCTTCACTTTACAAATACTTACATTTGAGTTAGTGTCACTAACTTTTTGTCACATCATGTACTTTTCTGTATCTTTACCTTTGAGTAAATTGTGCATTTCATCTCGGTAGCTGCTGTTTCTTTTTCTATGCCTATCTACAGTAATCCTTCTTTAAACTTACATATAAATCAGGACTTACCCTGTATAACCTTTTGTTTTATACCTATCACTGGTTTATTTTTATTATATATTTTTTTCCGTAATGGATGAGTAAGTTTTGTTTTCCCCCTTTGCATTTCAGAGAAAAGAGGTGTGGTCTTCTACTTAATTCAGGACCCTATGTCCAAAGTCAGAGAATCAGCTCCAACATAGAACATTGCTGAAAAACAAGTAGCGCCATGGCTTGACACTAGAAAAATTTCAAATGATGATTTCTAAAATTTTACATGAGAAAGCTTGAATTCGATAACCAGTTTGAGAAACACCAGTAGAACAAAGTTACAAGAAAACTCAATTCAAGAGAAAGACCATGACCCTGGATGGTGTAGCTCAGTGGATTGAGTGTGGGCCTGTGAACCAAAGGATTGCAGTTCGATTCCCAGTCAGGGCACGTGCCTGGGTCGCAGGCCAGTTCCCAGGCAGGGGACACACAAGAAGCAACCATACACTGATATTTTTCTCCCTCTCTCCTTCCCTTCTCCTCTAAAGATAAACAAATAAAATCGTTTTCTTTAAAAAAAGAGAAAGATCCTGAATATAATTTGGGGGAAATATTTAATCCGAGCTCAAACCTTTTTAAACAACTGCGAGTTTCTCAAAGATAAAGATTTCATAATGGTGATACAAATGGTAGGAGCCTAGAGCATAAGTCTGCTTCAATTGATTTTTTAAAAGACAATTTATAAATGAAAAATAATTTATTCGATATAAGTAAGGATGCATTTATATCTAAAATCTTACTTATTCTAGGAACGACTTAAAGGTGAGGCTATAGTTCAGTAGTCAAGGAATCTGAGAAAATTTGTGTGTGAGAGAGAGACATGGATGTAAACTATGTGGTAAAGCCTCCAGCCAGAACAGTAACCTTATCCAGCATCACAGAATTCATACTGGGGAGAAACCTTACAAGGGCAATGAATTTGAAAAAGACTTCAGCCACAGGTCCTCCCTTAAAAATCATGAGAGAATTTATATGGGAGAAAAACCCTATCCCTACCATGAGTGTGGGGAAGCTTTTAGCCATATTTCAGTCCTCACTCAACATCACAGAATTCATACTGGAAATAAACTGTATGCAGGTATTGAATGTGGAAAGACCTTCAGCCAGAGCACCTATCTTATTGAGCATCTGGGAATTCATTCTCGGGAGAAATCCTCCTACCAGTGTAGGGAATGTCAGAAAGTTTTTTGCCACAGCACATCACTAATTCGACATCAAAGAACTCACACAGGAGACAAGCCCTATGAGCGTAAAGAACGTGGAAAAGCCTTCAGCCGTACCCCAGCCTTTATTCAACACCAGAGAATTTATACTGGAGAGAAACCCTGTGAGTGTAATGAATGTGGAAAGGCCTTCAACTGGAGCACACATCTTACTCAACACCAGAGAACTCACACTGAAGAGAAACCTTATGTCTGTAAGGAATGGTGGAAAAACCTTCAGCTGAAGTACACACCTCACTGCACATCTGAAGATTCATTCTGGTGAGAAACTCTATCGATGTAATGAATGTCAAAAATGATTTGGCTATAAAACATCACTAATTTGACATCAGAAAACTCATACAGGAGAGAAACCCTACCAATGGAATGAATGTGGGAAATCTTTCAGTTTAAGATCAGCCTCTACTAAACATAAGTGAACACATACTAGGGAGAAAACTTGTTAATGTAATTAATGTGGTAATAGGTTTGTTCATTTGTTAGTTTGTCACAGTGCATTTTTAATCCAACATCAGGGAATTCATTTCAGAGATGAAACCGTATCAGAGTAATAAATCGTGGAAACCTGTAGCCATAGGTCTTCCCTTATACCTGAGCACTCACAGAGGTAAGGAACCCTAGGAGTGTTATGCAAGAAAAACTTTAAACAGAATAAGTATCCTGTAAAAACACTCAATATTATAATATTTGTACTGAGAAGAAACACTTCTTGCAATTAATCTGAAAAATGTGTTACCATTGAAAGAAAAACTTACCGTGGACCTATTCATCTCCAAAACTGAAGGTTTTTAAAAAATATATTTTATTTATTTATTTATTTTCAGAGAGAGGGTAAGGGAAGGAGAAAGAGAGGGAGAGACACACTGATGTGCAAGAGAAACATTGATTAGTTGCTTCTTTGCATACTCCCAACTGGGGACCCAGCTGACAACCCAGGTATGTGCTCTGACCAGGAACTGATCTGATGACTTTTCAGTTTGCAGGATGATGCTCAGCCCTTGAGCTACACCAGTCAGGGCTGAAATGTTTTTAAAACACATATTTAAAAAATTATTTTCAGAGATAATTTATTAGAAGTGTATATATTTTCTTATAATAAAATCCATTTTGGGTACACAAAAATTTTAGTGGGATGATGAAAATTATTGACTGTATACTAAATGTTTTATCCTTTTAGTAATGCCTGTGTTATTTTTCAGTGTTTTAAAGATAGTTTCATAATAACTTTGTAGGATGATTCACATGGTATGGTATATTTTCTCCTGTTAAAGAAACTTTTACTCTGACTGAGGCTGTAAATGCCAGTTACAATTTCAGTGTTGTTGTTATATTTAAATTCTCCTTATAATAAAGCATAGTTTTATAATTTTTTCAGTTTTTTAATATATCTTATTGATTATGCCATTACAGTTGTCCCATTTCCCTCCCCATTGCCCTCCACCCTGCACACCCCTTCCCTCCACATTCCCCCCTTAGGTTCAAGTCCATGTTTCATAAGTTCTTTAGCTTCTACATTTCCCACACTACTCTTGCCCTCCCCCTATTTTCTCCCCACCATCTATGCTACTTATTCTCTATACCCTCTCCCATCCCATCCCCCTCCCCCTCCCCTGTTGCTAACCTTCCATGTGATCTCCATTTCTGTGGCTCTGCTCCTGTTTTAGCTGTCTGCTTAGTTTGCTTTTGTTTTAGGTGTGGTTGTTAATAACTGTGAGTTTGCTGTCCTTTCACTGTTCATATTTTTATCTTCTTTTTCTTAGATGAGTCCCTTTAACATTTCATATAATAAGGGCTTGGTGATGATGAGCTCCTTGAACTTGACCTTATCTGAGAAGCACTTTATCTGTCCTTCCATTCTAAATAAAAGCTTTGCTGGATAGAGCGATCTTGGATGTAGGTCCTTGCCTTTCATGATTTGGAATACTTCTTTCCAGCCCCTTTTTGCCTGTAAGGTCTCTTTTGAGAAACCAGTTGACAGTCTGATGGGAACTCCTTTGGAGTTAACTATCCAATTATATCTTGCTGCTTCTAGAATTCTCTCCTTCATTTTAATCTTGGGTAATATGATTATGATATGCCTTGGTGTGTTCCTCCTTGGGTCCAACTTCTTTGGGACCCTCTGAGCTTCCTTGATTTCCTGGAAGTCTATTTCCCTTGCCAGATTGGGGAAGTTCTCCTTTATTATTTGTTCAAATAAGTTTTCCACTGGTGGCTGTTCCTTTCCCCCCTCTGGTACCCCTATAATTCGGATGTTGGAGCATTTAAAGATGTCCTTGAGGTTCCTAAGCCTCTCCTCTATTTTTTTGAATTCTTGTTTGTTCATTCTTTTCTGTTTGGTTGTTTCTTTCTTCCTTCTGTTCCATTCCATTGATATGAGTCCCAGTTTTCTTTCCATCACCATTGGATCCCTGTGTATTTTCCTTCATTTCTCTTAGTGTAGCCTTCATTTTTAAATCTAATTTGTGACTAAAATCAACCAGTTCTGTGAGCATCCTGATCACCAGTGTTTTGAACTGTGCATCTGATAAGTTGGCTATCTCTTGTTCACTTAAATTATAGGCTCTGGGGCTTTGAGCTATTCTTGAGCCATAATTTTTTGGTCAGGTCATGGCTGTTATGTATGGGGGGTGGAGCCTTAGGTGTTCACCAGGGTGGGGCAGCCCAGGTCACTGGGTTTTTTCTTTTTTGTTTTGTTTTGTTTTTTATTTTTTTAAATTTTTTAAAAAATTTATTTATTTTATTGATTATGCCATTACAGTTGTTCTATTCCCCCCTTCATTCCCCACTACCCTACCCCCTGTCCCCACCATTACCCCCCCTTTAGTTTATGACCATGTGTCTCAAGTTCTTTAGATTCTATATTTTCCATACTATTCTTGGCCCCCCCTTCTATTTTCTATCTACTGTCTATGCTACTTATTTTCTGTACCTTCTCCTCCTCCCACTCCCCTGTTGCTAACCCTCCTTGAGATCCTCATTTCTATGTTTCCACTCCTGATCTAGCTGTCCTTTTAGTTTGCTTTTGTTTTAGGTGTGGGTGTTAATAATTGTGAGTTTGCTGTCCTTTCACTGTCGCTGGGTTTTGATGCTGCCTGTGGGGGGCAGGGTCAGAGAAGGAGCAATGGCGTATGTTCTGCTCTCTCTTGAATTTAAGTACCTTCTGCTGCTTCCCACCAGCAAATTGGTCCCTTCTGGTGCTGGTTCCCGGCTGGGTGGGCTTGTGTTCATTCTAGGACCCTATGGGTCTCTCCAGCAAACTCTCCTGTGAGTATGGGAGTCTCTCCTAATACCTCAACCCCAGCAAATTTTTCCAATCAATGCTTTTAAGCTTTATTTCCCATCAGTGGGGCCCTGGATTGTGCAGTTTGTCTTACTGCTCATTTTTTGCCTGGTTTATCTCTGTGCAAATGTGTGTCCGCAGTCAGTCAACCACCTTGTGCATATCACTGGGTTTGCTGGCTTCCTCCCTGTTCCCCAGGTCTGTCAACCACCACCTTTTCCTTCCGGGACCCCTCTGCTGGCCGACAACTCTGCCCATCTTACCAGTCTGGATGAATGGTTCGTTGTTGTCAGACTTCATTACAGTTTAATATTCTGTCTGTTCTGGTTGTGTTTTTGTTTCCAAATCTTTGTTGTCCTTAAATTTGGTTGTGCAAGGAGGTACAGTATTTCCACCTATATCTTTATCTTGGCTGGAAGTCGCATAGTTTTATAATTTAAAAAAAGAAAGAAAAAGAAACTTTTACAGAGTGTTTGAATTTTCAAAATTGACAGATTTAATTAATAGCCATAAATATACAGGTATAATTTGCATTATTTCCCAGAATTCATGAAATATTTTTTTAAATGGACTATGTATATGCATATAAAGAAAATCTTGCCCCGGCGGGATGGCTCAGTTGGTTGCAGCATCATCCCATACACCAAAAGACTGCAGGTTTGATTCCCAGTCAGGGCACATAGGTTTCGGGTTTGGGGCACATATGAGAGGCAGCCAATTAATGTTTCTCTCTTACATTGATGTTTCTCTCTCTCCTTTCCTCTCCTTCTAAAATCAATGAAAACATCCTTGGATGAGGATTTAAAAAAAGCCCCAAATAATTAATTATCCTTGAGGGAAATATTGAAGCCCTCCATGTTTATTCTTATTTATTTATTTTAACCACAATGAGATAACAGTAGAAGTAAACAACTGAAAATAGCACCACAAAATCATTTAGAAATTAAAAAATAATTTAAAAGTAATTTTGGGTTAAAGGATAAATCCAAACAGAAAATGCAATTATTAGAAAATAATAAAGCTAGAATATAAATTAATTATTCAGTTAAAAATATAGGAAACAAAATAATGATATAAATCTAAAGAAAATAAAGGAAATGTATTACTAAAAATAAAAAGCACACATTAATGATATAGGTACAAAAAGTACATTTCATAGTAAATGGAAAATGTTGGTAAAAAAGGGAGAAACACAACATCTAGGAGTAAGAAAAAGAATATAAATAGAGATAAAAGGCAAGTTCCAATTTCTAATTCAGTCATTAACATGTCAAATCCAGCATTTAATAAAACCAATACTGAGATTTATTGTAGGACTTCTAGACTAGTTCAAAAGTGCAAATGTACATTAATGAAGACAGAATATTTCAACAGATGCTGTAAAAGTGTTTGGTAAAATGCTGCAGGCCTTTTTTAAAGTTAGGAATAGAATTAGAGTTCCTTAAATGGTTAACAGACATTTACCATAAGTCTACAGTAAATAGAGCAAATAAATAAAAGCATCCTGACCAGTGACAGGAATGAGATGAGTGATGTTCGGTGTCACCATGACCACCATTGTTCAGAAGTTCCCAGATAATTCAGTAAGAAGAAAAATGAGTAGGTAATATTTGAAAAGAAGGGCAAAACCCAACATTATTTAACATGATATATTTGGCAAATAGAAAATCCAGTAGAACTCAGTTGGAGATTATATACATATATATGTCAACAATGCACAAATATGAAACTTTATTTACTTACTTAATTTTTAGTGTTGACACTATTATACATGTCTCCCATCTCCCTCACTTTGCCTTGGTTAAAAAGCTTTCTTAACAGAAGAAAAAGAAAATGAAATGGAAAAAAAGTGATTCATGATATTGACAAAAAATTCTAAAATTACCAGAAATTTTAAAAAATTCCAAGAGATGGTTATAGGATAAACCTTTTCTAAAGAGCATACAATAATAGATAAAGAGTTATGACTGGAAAAATAAGTATAA